CCCCATCCATATCATCTCCATTTTTTTCAGAGGGATAAGAAAATCAAGATCTTAAGAAGAGATTTTATCATCCGCTTATTCTTTATAATCTTATTCCTTAATTTTATCGTGTCATTGTGTCAACTGCCTTTCAATGAGGATGACCTTATCCCATGCTATTCTTGCAAGAATGAGCCTATTAGTGCAATGAATGAAATTATGAATAGCCTGAAAAAAAAAAAGAATTAAGAAAATTGTTAACCATATCATATAACTGTTTCTCTCTCATCTGGACTTCAGTGAACATATGTTTTGTTGCCACTTATTAACGAGCAATTATTTCACACTCTTAATTGATTATGTTCTGAATGTAATTTTCTTTTTGAAGTTGGTCATATCTTCATTATTTCTACTTGAGATTAGTTAATTATTTATTTAGACTACTGGTTACTACTTCCTACCATTTACGTTATATTTAATACCATGTACATGCAGATATATTGCAGCTATTGAAGGTAATGTCCATAGACGACATTTGCAGTTAATCAGTGATGGCACAATTGTTGAAGGAAAACATTGTACGCCGGATTTGGTCGAGCACTTGCCAGCACAACCTGGCAGTTCAAGATCTCGACTACGAATTGTGGTATTTCTGTGATTGACTCTTTAGAATCAGATGTCTTCTAAGTGTTTCAAACTTTTCCTGAATTTTATTGCTATCGTCATGTAGAGAATCTTTTACATCTTGAGGAAATGGGGTATATTGCAATCAACTATCCCTTTTGCTTTCTTAACTTTTAAGAATTGCTGAAAAGTAATTTTGGATTGATCCTCAAATTTGCATGACCATGTCAAAGATATTGATATGATGGATAAAAAAATCATGTTTCTTTTTTTGGTGTTGGGTTGGTTGTGGTAGGATTTGAACCTTGTTAGTTGTGCCGTGGTCCTTGATCCCAAACTCAAGCCGTCTCTCGCACTGTAATTATACACACTAGCTTTGATTTAGGAATTGCCATATTACCAATGTAATCTAAGGGAAAAGCATTTAAAGGGCAACTGTAGATGATATAAATTTGAAATATTCTAGGCCGTTTCAAATGCTCTAAACTATACAACATTGTCTAAGAATCCTTGCCAAGCTCATTGTCGACGATGATATGTGCTCAGCATGGCCATGATGCTTATGTGGCGATAATGCATTAGCCTTTGCAATGAATTTTGATTTCTTCTTGCTAAAAAAGCATAGAGAACAAGTATAAAGTGAAACACCTATCTGACAAGGTAGTTATATGCCTTTATATGCTGTATCTTTATGTTCAGAAAGAAAAACTTAGGTTTTGGCTCAGGAGTTGCCAAGACTGAGTCTACTAGTGACACGATGGAGTCAACTTAGGGACTTCTTCAAGTTTTCCTTGAACTGGGGGTTAGCTATACTGGGTGTTTCTGGCAGTGATGGTGTTAAAGCGGTGTTTTGAATCCCCTGGCTTGGCACAATCTACGATCTCATGTGATGTGTCGTACCTTGCTACAAATGAAATGTCATTAAGGAGATGGTGGTGGTGATGGGTCTTGTGGTGATGCAGGAAAATTGAGAAATAGTATAATTAGCAAGAAACAAAGCCAAATACAAGCACAATTCAAAGAAACCTAGGGTTTCTTCTCCACACCCAAGCTAGGGTTGCAAAAGCTTGAGCTTTCTTTTTCTCAATTCTAGAAAATCATGTGACTGCCTTCTCCTAGGGCCCAGGCACCTTTTTATAATATTATTTTATGTTCCAAGTACAAAAAGGGTCCAAATAAATAGTACATTAACCTATATATCCTAACTTAAAATTTTTAATGACAGTTTTACCCTATGAACAGTACTCATGAACAATACTTGTGAATAATACTCATAAGTAAAATGAAAATTATAAAAACCCTATAATCCAAAAAAAAAACTAAAAAAGACCCTAAACTAAAACTATAATGTACATTCATCATGTGGCCTTCTGGTTGCAATTTATCTTTGCTTGGAGCGTATCTTTGACCATACTTCTGTCCTGGACCACCACCATTGAAACTTCTTCAATTATTTCCTTTGGATTCTTTCTTCTATCCTTTAATTTTTGTGACAATCTTCCTTTTCTTTCTCATTGGATTTATGCCTTCATTTTGTGAACTTGGCATTTTAATTTGTCGAAGTTCTTTTTTTACTTGTTCTACAACATTCAAGTAGTTGTAGGGGCCTTCCTCCTATGCAAATCATACATGACGATGAGGAATCTTTTGAAGGGCCCAAGACTATGGTACAATGACATGGATACTTATGTCAGTCTCTGACACAGATGAATGTGTCAGAAACGTCATTCTCATAATTCGGTTTCAGACATGATGCATTTGTATATCATGGAGAGGGGTTGGGCAGGTTGTATGTCAAGTGAAATTTAGTACTTCCATAATTACATTTGAAAGAATAAGATATGCAAAAAGGTCTTAAGTTCTTAAGTGTCTGAGATATATGTGTCCTTGGAGTGTCAACTTGTACCAAGAATCATGATCACACATTCTAGGTTACATTAGCCCACGATGAAGGAACTCTGGATATGGTGGCGAGATGTTATACCTTCATTAAAAGGTCTTATCGCCTTCCAATTAACTTAGATACCAAGGAGTTTCAATTCTTTTGAATATTCAGAATGGGCTTACTCATCTATTTTTACTGAAGAGTAGCGCACACTGAAACAATAAACATTTTGGATTTTTGTTCTTGAGATTCATCAAAAAATCTCTTGCATATCTCTATGAATATTTAAGTAATAACCAATCTAATGGAGCATTTTCTCTAGAAAATAGTTTTCTTTTTTCACTTCTTGTGGCTTTTTCTTTTTGGTAGAAGTGTTCTAATTAGGCCTGTCCAAAGGATCTCACTTGAGAACAGCTGACAACTCCACTGATGATAATTGAAACCTTAATTTGAATTTCCAGATAATGAAATTTGAATTGTCCAGCTGTTTGAATTTCACCTCATTTCTGATGATGTACTTGTGCATAAAGAAGCTCCATGACTTGTTGGAAGCACTAGACCTTAAATTGGTTGAGGAATACTCATCTAGAGCTCACTTTAGATACGGATCTGCTGATATTTTGAAGTGGACAAGTAGTAATTTTTTCTTATTTTAGTTTTACTTCTCTTTCATGGGTTGATATATAATTTTACTTCTCTTTCATCTTTACACAATTTGAAAAGTATAGCGAAGGGCAAAATTGCGAGACTTCTAGCAGAAAATTTCACTTCATATAATGCTGAAATTACATTTAAAGATTCTTCAAGTACCTCATCCAAGACGCAAACATAGATTGAAGAAACATCTATTTAGGTTTTGGTGGTTGAAAGGATTCATAATTCCCTCTTACCATCATCAGATTCATCTATCTTCTTCCAAAGGTTGAAGATGAGTGTGTGAGCATGCTGAGGGCCAAAACCAAAGGAAATCTGATTTGATATGTTGTATCAACCATACCGTTTGTAAGAGAGAACTCCGACCCTCTTTAAAGCCCTAATACGCCAGCTACGAATTTTTGCCACTTTGCCATTTACAGATGAACCTAGAAAAAAGAGAGATTTTAAACTCACCTAAGGACAACCAACTTAACGACTCCGTTCCTCCCCCTCCCAAACAATAAAATACAAAAGGGAAGCAAAAAGCCCGCAAACACACATACATCATCAAGACGAACTGCCACTTTTTGCACTTCTTCAAAAAAATCAGTCTATGTTTTTTTTTTCACGGCCATGTTCTTTAGGGTCAATAAAGCATGTGTGAAAAAATTTGGGTCAAAAAAATAGAAGGGTGGCAAAAATAGGACTCAATATGGTAAGCTAGTAAAGTGTGCAAGTGAACCTGGATAGCTATTTGTGTGTTTTTTACCTGATCAAGTGTGTAAGTCAACTTAGAATAATACTCAACATGGTTGCCTATTAAAATTCATGAAGTTCAGATATTAAAGTTGCTTTTCAAAGCTTGCTATTTAATACATTTAATATACTTGATGATTTTTTAAAATAAAAATTATTTAAAAAATGAGCACCCAATGGGTGTGAATTGAGGTATCAAATCTATGATTTACAAAGTTGATTAATTCACCAACTTGTGATATGGTTGTTTATGCCACTGTTGTTATCTTCGCTTTGCTTCGGGCAAAGTGCCTGAAGTCTTCGGGTTTACCCTCCATAGCAAAGCGAAGCAAATATAGAAGCGTATTCTTCCTTCGATACTTGTAACTTTTTTAAACTTCCCGTAACCAAAAGGTTGTCTACCTGTTGAATGCCACATATAACCAAAAAGTTGTGTAACTGGTGAATGGCACGTATGGAAGTACGAAAAGGAAAATTGCCATCTTACATTCTTTGCCACGTTTAGAGATAGTAAAAAAAAGAAGCAATTCTACTGACCGGGTTCAAAAGCAAAAGCAAAGTATTGATATTTTTGAAATTTAAAAGAATTATTCAAGTACTTTTCAAATTATTAGTATTAAAATAATATTTTAACTATTTTATTTATTATTAAGTATAGTAATGAATTTATATATTATTAATTTTTTATTTTTATATTGTTTTTAAAATTTAAAAATAGATTTTTATTTATATAAAATAAATAAATAAGAACGAAGCCTTCCCCCGAATCAGCCGAAGCACCGAATTGCTTCATTTTTTAAACCAAACCGAAGCAGGCTCCGAAGCGAATATGACAACATTGGTTTATCCACAATATGCAAGGGATTTGAACTGGGACATCAGACTCCAAGTTAATAAAATGCACTTCAATTCAGAAACTAGGAAAGGTGTTAATCCATTTGGGTGGGTTTAGGTCCATCAGCTAACTATGCTCTCCCTAACCTCTGATTTTCTGTGGAGGTTGTGGTTATCCTTCACAAGGATGACTTGCTCTCACAAAGCATTGAGTGGTCTTGCTCCTTCCCTCCTTATAATAGGTGATTCAAATGTTCCACTGACTTTTAACCATGCCCTTCTTAAGGAAGAACCTCACATGGAGCCACTAGGTGCTACAACTCATGCTCAGCACAAGAAGGCTTTATTTTATGATGCTTTACAAAGGGAACAAGTTTTGCAGCTTCATACCTCCAATAAATGCATTCTCTATTGTTCCTGTCAGGTTGTCTCAGCTTGTAGCACATATCTTGAAATTTGTGAGGCTCATGTATTACGATAGTTGTTTTTCTCAATTTTGCAGGGCAAATTGTGTCTGACTTTCGACCTTTAAAAATGAATTTTTTCCTTTTCTATAAGAATTAGGATGTCCACGACATTGGAGAAATCGTTCTAACTATTGAATCTATCTTATTCTCTTGATCTGACGGAAGTATTGTACCACTTTTTTCATAATTGTTTCAGGACAGCTTCATGATGCTAAGCATCTATAGTTGATTTTTCGTAATATGGATTTACCATTTGAAAGATGGTCAGATTCATGCGTGCAACCACATCCATTACTTCAATAATGCATGTGATTCTTCATTATACTGCAGCCTAGAACTTCTGAGTTTGTCACTTTCATGTGATACTTAGTCACTTAATGACTTCCCCCTTTTTCCTTTAAGCTATTATTGCTTGTTCATGATTATATTCATCTCTTTGCGAAGCTTGTTTTCGGAAGTACTTGCTTTCAACATGAGTTATTGGTCAGTTAAAATTATGTAATTCTAAAAGTTCTTGGAGCCATAGATGATGCGTAGTTTTCTTAAATAAAACAATCTACTTATATCAAATAATTTGGTGGTTGATAGGTTAATGAAGGGAGAAACCGTGAAGTTCGTGAGATTGTGAAAAACGCGGGGCTTGAAGTAAGTTTGTCGATTGCATGAACTGGGTATATCATTCTTATCAACTCATTCTGATTATTTGCTTAGAAGCATACTTAATGTTAGGTAGCCCTAGAGTGCTGGACATGTTTGCAACATAAGGCTGAATTATATTTTCTTATCACCATTTTGTTTTGAAGAGTTCCAACATGATGTTTGTAGGAACCTCATAGTTGGAAGGCATTTCTGTTTACAAAAGTAAAAACTAATGTTCTTTGGATTAATCCTATTGATAAAATTCTCATCACCCTTCCGGTAATGGCCTCTAAATGTCTCCAGCAGACAACTCTTGGATCTAGTGATCCCTTCCATTTCAAGTAGTGGGGCCTCCACTTTTGATACCATGTGGAGTGAGTGCAACCTTTACACATTTACTACCCAACTGCTGGTTTTAGAAAGTCTTAAGATATTTGAAAATGTTTCTTGTATATGTCATTTGGTTGAAAGATGATCCTAGCAAGGGTAACACCAACCCATCATGTAATGTTAATTAAGGATCTAATTCAATTTCCTGATGATTATTATACACAGGTGAAGTAGAGTTTTAAGAGTTTAAGTTTTTGCCGCTGCACTTAAAGCATAAAATTGTCTCCGGCATTTGAAGTTGAATAATACAACATTAGTTTATCATCCATTATGAATGAATTCCTCTCGTTGTAAATGTTCTTTATTTATCCTATACTGTCTAATCAGCATCAAACAATGATGATGATATTGTTGAAAATAGAATAATGTTGATCTTTAGACATGAACATTAATTTTTTTTAAAAAAAATATAAATGTGCATGAATCTCAGTTTTACTTGAGATAAAAGATGGATCTACTTATGCTAACTGCACCTTCAACAAATTCCAGCTTCATTCGTTAAAGCGTGTTCGTATTGGTGGTTTCAAGCTTCCTGCAGGTCTTGGGTAATTATCTCTCTCTATTAATTGGGGTGTTGGCACCTCCTGTAATCTTGTAAAGTCACATTCTACTGCCTTGCAGGAATTTTTATGTTACGCTGCTCCTATAATTACTGTCTTGGTCAGGAATAATTTTGTGATTTGATTTATGTACATACACAGATTCATCATTGATTGGTTCTTATTAATTATAGCATGGTCGCTACTAATATTAGATATTATCTTGTACTTTGGTTTTGGCTTGATTGGTCCAAAGGTTTTAAAATTAGCACTAAGACAAAGCATATACTATATAGAAAGTAAGTTTAATAATAATAGGAGTAGAGACGAGGAAGTAGTTAAGATTGACGGCCATGAAGTACAAAATAGAGAGATTGAGAAAGATGTTGCATTCAAAGTTAGAGTTGGGTGGGTGAAGTGGAGACGTGCAACCAGAATTTTTTATGATTGCTGCATACCAATGAAGTTGAAGGGCAAGTTCTATATGATAGCGGTGAGACCAACTTTGTTCTATGAGACGGAATGTTGGGCGGACAAAAACTAATATACCCACAAAATAAATGTAGCAGCGATGATGATGTTGAGATAGATGAGTGGCGAGACACGAAGGGATAGAATTTGAAATGAATCTGTTTGGGAGAATTTAGGTGTGGCACCAATAGGCGATAAGATGAGAGAGAGTAGATTTAGGTGGGCTGGCCATGTGTGGTGTCGGCCAAGTACAACACCTGTTAGGAGGCGCGAGTTAGTTCAAGTGGAAGGAATGTAAAGGGCAACGGGTAAAACCCAAAAAGACGTGGTTGGAAATAGTTCGAAAAGATACGGGGACTCATGGCCTCACTGAGGGTATGCCTTTTAATAGAGCTGAATGGCAGACCAGGATTTGTGTAGCCGACCCCAATTAATCAAAAGGTTATGATGATGATGATGAATTGAGCATGCAGATTTATTTTTCTTTGCATCATGTATCAAAAGCGATTTTGTGGTTGTGTATTGGAAACTCTTTTTGTGTGAAAAGTAATGATAATTGTCCATAAGATTGTTACTCGTTTATTGAGAAGACTGAAGTCTGTTTTTCTGTTTGAAAATCATCATTAATCTGTCAGAATTGTGGAAGAATCTTATAAAAATTCTTATGTTTCAATCTGGTAATAACTTTCCCCAATTTGTTGCTGATTATTCATTTCATGTTGAATGGTTCAGATTTGGGGATTATAGCTTTTTTTATTTTCAAATTCAGATCTAGAGCCTCGAGTAAAGTCGGCTTTTATCACCATTATATATGTATAGATGTATTTAGTCATGGATGTATGTATTTATGTCATATGTATTTATGCATGGGTAGGTAGGTAAGTAAGATCGAGCGTGTTTGGGTTGTTTGGGGGGAGGAGAGTTCGGCTTCTCTTGTAGCTGCTTCTGAAGAACCCTGGTTGATGGACTCACATGTTTTCACTTAGGACTCCCAACTTCTTGAAGTATCGACTTGTCAGGATTATATAGCATTTTATACACTCGCTATCTACTGTCTTTTCTCTGGTGGCCTTAACCTGTCACTTGGTAAATCACTCATTCAACCATTATTTTCGCACACAATCCAACCTGTACTTTATTATTAATTTGAATGTTTTAGTTCATAGTTGTTCCTTGTCATTGTACTCTTTGTTGCTTTCCTTGTAGAACTTGTTTGACATTCTCCATTGTGACCACTTCGAAGGAACTATGTGTCTAGTCAAATGATACATAAATTGTTTCTATGCTTTATGTGAGAAGGCTACTGGGATCTGTCAGGCTTGTAGTATAAAAGGTGGAGCTCGATTGGATGGGATCCCCTTCAGCTTATGGAATACAAAGGGTGGCTACCCTCTTGACTTCTGTTAAGGCACAGGTTTGCCATGTTATCTTTTCGCCAAGGTCAAAGATGATCACGTTTTGTACAACTTTTATGGGCATTGCAGCTTGTTTGAGAATATAAATAAGGCTTTTGTTACAAAGCCTTATTAACTAGGGACCATTTTCTTGATATTAAAGTTTATTGGTAGCTTTTGTGGCCCAATTAAGAAAATATTTATTTCCTTTCTCTTTTTGAACTTCGACAAATTTCATTTATTCCATAGATGTTGGGTAGCTACATTTGACAACAGGCAGTGAAAAACAAAAATCACTGCACTCATCATTCACCTTTTGCAGTTATGGATGACTCTAAAAATCTTCGTGTGGATTGCTCTTTCTTAATGGGTTTCCGTTTCAGGCTTGGAAATCACCTTGCACTTAAAGAAGCAGATCTCAAGTTGTTGGCAGGCAAAATCCTGAGAAAAGCTTAGCAGATGAGCGTGCTAATATCGACCTGTCCAATTCCTAGTGTGCAATCCAGCTGACCCAAGTGCCACTTCTTAATGTCTTCCCAATTAATCCTTCATCAAAATTATGAAATATATTTTGGGGCTGGTTTTATTCAGGCATGGTTTGGTTCATAGTGTTTTCTTGTATATATCAAGCATCTTTTTGCCTTTTTTATCCTTGTGGAATTGTTTTCATATTTTCATATTTATATATATGAGGTGGTACATATTGTAAAACATTTTTTTTGCAGGTTTATGTATTTCATGAAAAGGTACTTGCCTGAGAATCATCCTGTCTTTTTATGTCATTGAGCTCTCCTGCTTTCTGGACAAAAACCATGTAAATTATTCAATTATTTTTAACTTTGTGATTTATCCAATGTTACTATGCTCCTGCAATAAGCATGATTGCAATGGGGCGGTTGGTGAGCATGAGGTGCACCTGGTGAGTGTTTTGTTTGCCCGCAGCTTCTGTGTTATAAATTGCTGGTAATTTTATTGCAAATTAATCTTCACTTTTCTTTAGTTAATTGTCTTATTAGCAGATCAATTGCAAAGTGCATGATCAAAATGAGGGATCAGAGTGCGTATGATTAATGTTGCAGAATGAAATGATTGATGATGAGGAACTATACTGAGTTCTTGAACCGGACATGGTAATTATTACGTGATCCTAACATGAACTTCAAGGTGCCCACGTGTTGGAGTTTGTGACTTTAATGGCCCTGCTACTTGGTTATCTTGGATTTCAGCTCGTTATATTCCCATGTGTTTAGATACTCATATTTTGTACTCTCGGGGCTCTGGCTGTACTTAAAGAGGCTTTTAGAGCAATGGGTGCCACCTCCATGGATGCAAGAAGACTCCATGGATGAAAGAAAGAGGCCATGTGAGTGTGTCCTACTTGAACGAAATGGGGAGGGTCCTAGTTGGATAACAGAGGTCATTAGATCTGGTTATATCTGACTCCATTTGGGGAGAGCGGGCTCCTTCACGTTGACATTCGTTAGCGACTAATGTACCCTACCTTGAGCTGAATAAGCCTAGTCCCTACGATGCACATCATCGAAAATGGTTCATGAGGAGGAAGGCTTGATCCTATGGTGAACGATGACTCGGGAGGAAATCAAAACACTTCCTTCCAATAGGGGGCGAGAGGAAACCAAGACATTTTTGTCGGATGGCTAAGGGAAAACTAGTACACACCTTTGCAGTAGGATGGTGGCCTGTGAAGATGAGTGCCTAAGCTCACGACATTATTGGATTGATTTCAAGATGGTTATTGACATCGATTAATGCAAAATAAGATTTTGTTTCGGTCTCTCCTTAAATTCTACTTGAAAATATTATCAAACGCTTCACTACATATAATTCAATCACGTAACTATTATGAACATAGATATATATCTACAATTAAAGGCTCTCCAAAATTACAGACATGACCAATTTATCATCCTTCATTTCATGTTCTATCCTAATCATAAATCGTATAAAAAATGGGTCAATATGGTGTGTGGTATGAACTCAACAAAATCCTCCAGCTAGGGCTTGTAGATAATGGCACAACCAAA